GAAGCATCCAGAGAAGCCTCATTTATTCAACCAATTTAAAGCAGTAGCACTTTGGCTCCTGCATGATATTTGGTATTGCTACTAATCAACCACTGAAACCTCACACAGAGCGTACAAAATCAATAATTGGTGAGGAGACCCGCCTGTAAATTTTGTCCTACAAATGGATTTAATGTCAGGAATATGCAAAATGCTTGAGAAGAGTACCGCAACAAATCCGGTGATTTTTTATTGATAATTTCACATATTGAAAGACATCTGAAGCAGAAAAGAAAATATTTCAGTATTTTCACTCTTCCATAACTTGAATAATGAGGTAAACAAAAACTGATTAGGCATTTAGTCGTTATTTGTACTTGAATTTTTTTCAAAATTGGTTGTATTTTTTGGTTGACAAAATGCATGTTTTATCTCTCCAAGTGCTCATAATACACAAGCGAACGGGTCAATGACACCATTATCACGAAAAAAGAGAGCTGTTGCGGCGAGAATGTCGGAATCTTGCATTGTAGAAAACGTTCTGTTTCGCATGGAGCACAAAAAATAAACAAGTTCTTTATTTCTAAATGCATTTAAGTGAGGGAAGAGAGCAGTACCTATGACTTGGATATGACATGCCATCCGTATTTATTGAAAAAGTCATTGAGATCATTTAGAGCTTTACCTAAAGTGCTGTCAGACAGCTGTACTTACCGATACCGCTGAAGTCCCATGTCATCATTTTGGGTCCAAAATTTGCTTACCCCTCACCCTAGATAACTGAGCATTAGAAGCACCTAACAGTTATTAAAGAAATACAAAACGGTTTTACTACTCAGTCATGATCTCGAGTAATCCTCCCGAGAGCCGCGTGTGGCTGCCCAGCCTGCCCTATTGGGTAATTCCACGCCGGCTGCAAAGAGCTTGGCACAGCTAGGCTGTTTTTTTTTAAACAAATCGGAGAAAGTTGATAGAACTTTGGCTTGAAGCAACTACAAAAACAACAGTTTCACTACTCAGATGTGACCCTCAGTCTCCTCTTGCAGCTCAGTCTTTAGTGAATATTGCATTACATGTCCATGCAATAGTTTGTGCCAAATTTCTGTGTGTGTGTGTGTGTGTGTGTGTGTGTGTGTGTGTGTGTGTGTGTGTGTGTGTGTGTGTGTGTGTGTGTGTGTGAGTGTGTGTGTGTGTGTGTGTGTGTGTGTGTGTGTGTGTGTGTGTGTGTGTGTGTGTGTGTGTGTGTGTGTGTGTGTGTGTGAAAAAAACAACTAATTCTTGCTTCGAAGGCAGAATAAATTTTCAAGTTAAAGGTTATGAAGTGTCAGATGTTGATAAATATGAGATGAGTATTACGAATCAATGTATATAAAACTACATACGACAGGGGAAATATTTATTCAGATGTGAATATCAAATATCAATCAATCATATATCACACAGATGGTGTTATTAAGGCACGGTCACACGAGCGTTTTCTTTTTCAACATCCCGTTTGTGATATGATTCGTCATTTGATGTTTTAATCTGCGGGCGACTTCCCAACTTGCTGGTCACACGGGATGAACCGTATGACAATAACAAACCGCCAAAAAATAAACACTTGGAAAATATAAGGATATAAATTTGTCTACTTGAAACTCATATTAATCGAAATTATCGATTATTATTATTTGTGTAGCTGAGTATTATTTTCATAACAGACTACAGACGCTCTTGCCATGCCAGCTTTGCCCATTTCCAAACGATACAAATGGTCTGCTTCTACTCACGACCTAGTAGTAGATTGTACGGACTCGGAAAATGAGACAAGCGGAAAAGCTGAAGTCATCTCCTCAGGCCTCGGCTTAGCTAATTTTGCATGGTCTTTTCTTCTCTTTTCCTTTTCCTTCTTTTCTTCATCCCCACTTCAGTCCATTTATCCTAATCGTTAACTAATTCTTACCTTTTTCGCCACAATACTTTATCATAATGCTTTATGACCTTTGGTGTTTGACACATTTATTTTGACCATTAACCGTTCTGGAAATCCACAAACATCGCTTTGTGAACCAAAATAATGTTTTACCGTGGGCTTCGCCCCCAAGTCCCACCATATCGCTAGAGTTTGAATAAGCCGCTATATGCCTTAAAAAGAAAGAAAAAAAATGTATATATATACATATATATATATATATATATATATATATATATATATATATATATATATATATATATATATGTATATATGTATGTATATATATATATATATATATATATATATATATATATATATATATATATATATATATATATATATATATATATATTGTTGAAAACACGCTCGTGTGACCGCCCTTTAGCAACAGTGGCTAGAAGCACACCTTGCAGAAAAGGCGTTTTTACTTATACCTAAACGGGATCTCACTCAAATGCTTGTTTGTCCACTTGTCAATCTTTTCCACCATGTCTGGCGTAAAAGTTTTCGATCAGCTGCCGGTGACTCCTGAGGAGGTGAGCTGTACATTAGTTGACTTTTCATTATGCCTTCTAACCCTATTTCTTAGGCCGCGTCCACATCGACAGCGAGCTGGCGCGAGCGAGCGCGGGTCAATGCAATTGGAAGAAAAATTGGTTCTCTTCACTTTGTAGTTCAGGCGTTTACTCAGAAAGTTTTTTATTTTTAATATTCACTAAGTTTTCTCACAAGAGTTTACGCAGTTAGGATATAGATTAATCAGTTACAAGCGTTCCTGCATGTTTGCTCCTTCTCGCTGACAGTGTGCGCAGCTATATGGTAGGTAGAGAAAAAGAGGAGGAGGAGGAGGAGGAGAGAGAGAGAGAGAGAGAGAGAGAGAGAGAGAGAGAGAGAGAGAGAGAGAGAGAGAGAGAGAGAGAGAGAGAGAGAGAGAGAGAGAGAGAGAGATGGAGAGAAATAGGAGGAGGAAGAGAGAGAAAGAGAGAGACAGAGAGAGACAGACAGACGAGATGGAAAAGAAGGTATTCTAGGAACAAAGTTTACCGGTATATTTGAGAAAAGGGAGAAATAATATTTAATTCATAACTGGATAATGAAAATATCTAGGCGCGTAATCAGCATGGCAAACATGCAATGGATAGTTCACAAAAGATGTAGAAAACGTGAAGGGAAAACGAAAATATGATGGATAGATGCTGTACTGTCTCATTTTAAGGATATTTTTGTCAACGAGCTAGCGAGCCCTTATATGTTAGGAGCGCCCAGAGAACGACACTGAAAGATTCTGTTTTTCCTCGTTTCTGGAGAGGAGTAGGGAGGGGGGAGGGGGTAAAAATACAATTTTGTAGGACTGAGAACAGACAAATGTAAAGGCCCAAGCTCAGATAATATCACACCTGTCATATCATGTGTCACATGAAAATTAGTGAAAATACTTCAGACTACAGAAGAATTACATTGGCTAGTTGTTGGGTTAGTACAAACAAATTCAGTCAGTCTCCGGAGTTTTTTCTTAACGTCAGACTTTAAATCTTCGTAGAAAATAAAATGAAAGTTGGGGTAGTTGCGCCGCTCCCAGGCCTCCTTCACGTGCAGCCAGTACAGTCCTTGAACCACTGTGAAGATATGTAAACTATATGTACATGTACACACACACACACACACACACACACACACACACACACACACACACACACACACACACACACACACACACACACACACACACACACACACACACACACACACACACACATCCCCCTCTGGAAAACGCACGTTAACTTACCGTCTCCATCAATAAAGTAATCAACGAACTGGTCTAAAGTGCGAGTGAAATTGTTGTATTCGAAGAGGCGACTCATGTGGTGCAGTGACACGACCACATCTCTGGGGTTCCTCGCGATGTATACAAACACATCGGTTTCAGTGGGTAGCTCGGCGTTACGGAGCGAAAGGCCTTTGGGTTGATGTACATATCTGTGCTGTTCCAAGAAAGAAAATGACTGTCTAAAATGCCATTAGTCTTTTTAAAAACACATTTAAAAAAACAGTAATTAAATGAGCGATTAAGAAGACTATTTATCTTCATATTTATTTCCAAAATAATGAATTTAATTACATTCGCAAACAGATAGGGATGTGTCTTACAGATGAAACACCAAAAAGAGGTGCTCAAACTAAACAGCTGAGGTGCTTGCTGTTCGTAAATGGCACGGAAAGAAGGAATACATCATGAATTAGAAAGAACAGGAGCTGTGTGACTACCGAGAGAAGTGGTAGCATCAGTTAGTAGAAAGAGCAAAGGCATGATTTTGTTAATGTATAACAGACGTTTTTCCCGGATTTACAAGTACCTCTTTAAGGGTGCTAGCTTTTAAGTGCACGAAACCAATGGAATTTTAGATATCTTGCACAGCTTTAAAAGTTTAAGTTGTTTCTAACTTGGATTTTCATTTTTTTCCAATTGTAATTGCCGTTAATGTGGCAGTCGTATTTTGTATTTGACAGCAATGTAAACTACAAACTCGAATTTGAGAGAGCAGCAGAAGCTGGA